TATATATATATATATATATATAAATTTACATAATAAAGCAAATGAGGAAAATAAAAATATTAAAGAACCTAGTAAGATAATCTTACAATTATCACTTCTCCAAATGTGTTTTGCCTTCGAAAAAATATACTTTATTATAATTTATCTATAAAAAAAGATTTTTGAAAAAATAAAATGAATAAAGAAGTAAAATTAATTTAATTAATTTAAAGTTTACAGGAATAATAAAAAATGTACAGTATATTTTAGATGTCGTTACAATGTTTTTGATGAACAAGCTAAATTTTTTTTTGTTTATATCTATTATTTTTACATTTATACATTTGTCACATCTTCTTGCAAGGCTCTTTCATTCTATTTAATCGTTTGATATACATTTTTCCCATGTTTTACAATAAATATCATAAAAATAAGGAAGGAGGAATACACTATGTTAACAGAGAATATGTACTGATACTCATTGTTCTATTGATTTTGGTATGTTATTCGACTATTGTATGTTTCGATTGTAACAATCTGTCAACTTGTTGTAATGTGAACGTAACCTCTATAACTCGCATACGCAGAGATTTTCTTGCACTGTCGGACAGACGACGCGATTTGATGATTTTTTAAATGTAAATTTTTATATAAATTTGTAATGGATACCGTTTATATCTCGCGTCTCTCCAATAATTCGAAAACACACTATCTACGTGACAATCAGTGACACACAATCAACAATTTTTTATACCCTTTCCCCCTTCCTCTTTACTATTCCACCTCTTTCTCCGTGACAATAGACAATTTGCGTTCAGAAAATACAATATGATTGTCTTTTGGAAAGTAGATCTGATTGGTGAATGTAGTGCGCCAATCATAGCCGACTGTGAAGGTAGTTTATTATCCTATATTGCTTTAATCTAATTTTATTCTTGATATGTGAGGCAATAAAATTAATAATTTTATTTATATTGTACGTAATATTGCAAGTATAATTTGTTCGATTAATTTTTTAAGTTAATCGAAGTTTGATCGAAATTATTGTTTTCTGAACGCAACTAGTAGTTCTTTGTTACATTTATGCTCATAGGCGGTTTAGACGCCATATTGGTTATATATCGAAAAATTCCGGTACGCTCTTTTGGCGGCGATTCGTGACTATTCCAGTGAAAAATAAATAATCTTTTACAATGCTGGATCACAAGCAAACGGAAGAGTTGACGGATCATGAAGCCGAGTTGTATGACAGGCAACTTCGTCTGTGGGGCTTGGACTCACAGAAACGGTAGGTCTCGTAAATTTGAATACATAACCTAATTCGGAATCAATACCGGCGTTTTGTGAAAATCTCAAATTTCAAGTGCGATATACATAACACGGCTATAGGAAGATTTTTGGAATAGACTTTGTTTTTCTTCGCTCTTTGCCGATTACGTACATATATATCTTTTAATAAACAGAAATAGGTCTGTTTTCTACAACTGAATTAGTATATACTTTCGGAATTTACAACAGTATGATAAATATATTTTTTATATTTAATGAAAATGACAAAAATTTAATGCAGGGATAAAAAACAGATCTAACATTTTAGAATGGTTTATAAAAATTTTTGTTGAAATATTATTTTCTTGAATGTTTTTTATCTATATTTTTCACAGATTGCGAGCTGCAAAAATTCTTTTGATAGGATTAGATGGTTTCGGAGCAGAAATTGCTAAAAACATTATTTTAGCTGGAGTTAAAAGCGTTACATTTTTGGATCATAGAAATGCGACTGAGTTGGATAGATGTTCGCAGTTCTTTATTCCAAAAGAAGATATTGGAAAGAATGTAAATATTAAATAGTACATTATATACTACTTTGCTGCACAAATAAATATGTACTGAAATAATTGTTTGTTTACAGAAAGCTGAAGCATCATTGCCAAGAGCGCAAAACTTGAATCCTATGGTTAACGTTAATGCAGATTCAGACAAAGTTGACGATAAGTCTGATGAATATTTTGGACAGTTTGATATAGTATGTGCTATGCATTGTACTATTACTCAGCTAAAGAGGATTAATCGAGCATGTAGAAATCAAAAAGTCAAATTCTTTGCTGGGGATGTATGGGGAGGACTTGGTTATGTATTTATAGATTTACAAGAACACGAATATGTAGAGTGCGTACATTTATATTTTTGAATTTGACATATTAAGAGCAAATCTCTTGTAAATATAAATAATGGAAAATTTTTTAGGGATGTGCCAAAATCGAAGAAAGTCACAATACCGGAAGGTGGTGAATCTGTGGGTAAAGAAAAGATTGAAAATATAATAGTTAGTGAAAAGCGCACGGAAACTTTTGTACCATTTGAGTTCATTCTAAATGTTCCAAAAACATCTTTAACTAAGGAGGAAGAAATCTACTATATGATGCTAAGTATGTTTTAAAATTAGAATTTTTTTTTTAAGTAAAGATTTATATTTAAAAGATAGTCTAAATAATAAATTTTTTTAGTATTGCTGAATTATCGCGAAAAGCATGGTGAAGATCCATTGCCTAATGAAAGAGGTTGTGAAAACCTGAAAAATGAAGCTTCTGCAATTATTAAAAAATATGAGTTAGGCGATAAAATAAATAATTTAGTAGAGTATGTATGACAGCTTTGACATGTAAATTAATCGATCAAAAAATTTACATGTATAATAATATTTTTGTAATTGTAGGAGCGATTTGTATGGACAACTCAGTCCAGTTTGTTCTGTCGTTGGTGGTATCGTGGCTCAAGAAATAATCAAGGCGGCCTCGCAAAAACACGCTCCACTCAATAATTTATTTACATTTAATCCAGATTCATCATGCGGAATTATTTTGAAATTGGGTTATTAATCGAACGTGATGTGTGGAGCCGAGTATACTAAATATTTTTTAATAATACTGTGATACACTGAATATAACGTTATGTTTCCCTATTTATCCATCCTTTTTTATACGTGAAAAACAACAGAAACTTATTTCATTAGCAAATATAATCGTATTTTGAAAATAAAATTTTATTACTCTTACATACATATAACAGTTATTATGAATTTAACATCAATAATATAACATATATGTATACATATATATGTATATGTGTATACACATGTATTTATGTATGTAATACATTTTGTGAGTACAGAAAGTACAAACGTTTTACGCGCATATATGACTCACACTATCGAGATTCCGGCAAGGCAATTTCAAGCTCGCTTTGTGGATTTTTTTGATGCGCACTCGAATGGAAAACGCGTCGCGAAACGTAAAATGGGGATTGAAAAATTGGTAGGGGAGCCGATTAGAGTATGCCTCGTTATGTTTTATCGGCTCACCGACATTATTTTCAAGGGAACGCATTCCACGCGTGCATTCTATTTCCTCAAAATTTTCACGAAAATGTATAGTTTGATTTCACAGTTAATTCGCACAAATATATGTGGTATAAAAAGATTTTATTACATAGTAGTAGCAATATGATATAACAATTTAGTCTCGGTACTTTTAATATAAATTATTACTGTGTCATCTACTTCAATATTCCTCTTTATTCGAGAGTATACATATTCGACAAAGTATACGTGCATTATGTGTGTTATTTGCGCTATTTTACACATACATGCAGGCGCGGGTAAAGTGATTGATTCGATCTTCAGCTTGGAATTATGATATATCGTCTTTTCCCGTGCACACGATGTCGTTGCGCCTCGGGCCTATCAGCGTGCTATGTAAATGCAAGGGTAGACATGTAAACCGCTTCGCTCGACTCTCCCGTCGCAGGTATACATGACGTGTTTCTTAACGATGTGGCCACGTGCGTTCACGGTTGTCGAATTATCTCGCACGACGTTTTATTTCGTGCTCGTCGGAAAACCATTAGCTGGCGCGACACGTAAACGCTCCTCTAATTTGACATTTGTTAGTATACGATACTAACGCAAGCCGCGCATTGAGGGTGATGGGAGTTTGTGACGGATTTCCCGTCACATTTCGACGGGCGCGGCAAATCGCATCGACTGGCGATTCATGTAAATTTAATAGTACGATGTCGCTTGAAATTTGCAATCACCGCGTCGAAT